TTTATATTAACAAATGAAGCATTAGGTCTGAACCACTGTGTTTCTAAATAGGCTGGTATAACTTATTGCCCTGCAATTGCAGCGGGTTGGACCTGATGATCTTCTGACCCCTTCCAACTCTACTATTCTATGATTCTAAGGTTCTATACTGACATTATGCAAAGTATGGATGCCAAAGCTTGACCCAAACAAACCTTCAATCTGCCTTGTGGCATTATGCATAAGTGGCACAACACCAGGATGAAGTGATCCAGTTGCTGTGATGTGCAGACCTCTAGCTGGTGTTTAAGGGTAGACACTGATGTGATGGGTGGAATAGGCTGACCAGAAGTTAGTTAGTTTATTTGTTTGTTTATTTTCCGATTTATATCCTGCCTTTTTCCTACAAAGGGCTCAAGGCAGCTTACATCATTCCCCTCCTCCATCTTATCCCCACAACAACAACCCTGTGAGGTAGGTTGGGCTGAGAGTCCGTGACTGGCCCAGGGTCACCCAGTTGGCTCCATGGCTGAGCGGGGACCAGAACCCAGATCCTCTGAGTCCCAGTCCCATGCTCTTAACCACTACACCACACTGGCTCTCAGGTTCTTGCTTTACAGTGATTAAAGGTACCTCATTGACTCCTTCACAGAAGCACATATGAACCTTGCTGAAGCAGACCAAAACCCCATCCCATCCAGTACGATATTTCTCAAAATGGACAACCAGATGTTATGAAAAACCCAGAAACAGGTCAAGAGAGCAGTCACCTTCTCCCTGCTGGAATGCCTCAGCTCCTGCATTGCTTTCAAACAAAGGTGTCGGAACAGTTTAAATCAGAAGTCATTCTGCAGCTATTCCATCTTTTTTCTTTAACAGTTTTTTTGAGGCAAGAAAAGAGTCAGAAGTGGTGGGAAACCATGGGGAGTGATGACAAGAAAATGGTGATGTCTGGACCCACTTCCTTTAAATTTAATTCTGTTAGTAAGACAGGGCAATGATGAGATGCTAAACAGGAAAACTACGGGCAGAATGGAGCTTATATTATATCTGGTAGCCATTGATGGCCTTAACCTATATGCAGGGCTAGCCCCAGACATTTTGCTACCTGGCTTGCAGAAGAGGATAGCATCCCTTGCCATTCCATGGACAAACAGTGACTGGACTAACGGATAGCATTAAAGCAGGGTAATCCAGAGAGTGCAGAGAAGGTTGCAGGACACACAGATCCCTCCTTCAACTTCTTGCTGCCACCTCCCAGCATCTGTCACCTGAGGCAACTGCTTCACTTTGCCTAATAAAAGGGCTGCCCTACCTCCATTAATTTAATACTTTACATGTCAACATTATCAAGTTGGTCTTGCATTAGATTTTATTGTAGAGATTTGAAAATGTTCTTAGCTTTGGTGCCTAAATGAGTGCCAGCCTCTGACAACTTCATTTTGTCTTGACCAGTTCTTCATACAAAGCAGTTTTCTTTATGCACATGCTTCTTCCTTCAGTTGAAGGTGCAAACATTTTTGTTTTACATTTTAATTTTGGATTTACTTACCATGTGCGTCCATATACCTCTCAATAAATATTATGCATCTTGCAAGAATGAACAAGAAAGGGAGAGGGAGAAAAAGGAACAAGGAAAGCAAGAGGAATTGAGAGAGGGAGAAGGTGGGCAATGACTAATACAGGATTATGAAGTTGTCAGTTTGTTTAGAAACACTTTTTATATACAGAGCTAACTTGTGCTTGCTTTATGTGCAGGCTAAGAAAGCAAGTGGGTTTTTGCTGCAGGAGAAAGGAACTGGAAAGAGATGGCTAACGTTTGAGGCTTGCCCCAGCCCCCAAGAGAACTGTCTTAGTTAATGGGTGGTATAGAAATCAAAATCAAATCAAATCAAATCAAATCAATAAACATAATCATCATTATTATTTCTAAATGTAATAACACAGTGTTCAGCATATTAGAGATAAGCCCAAGAATGTAAGGGAGCTAGTAAAGCTTCTGTAGAAATAAATAACTGATGTAGTTAACAAAGTAATTAACTGAATAGGTGTACAAGTGCAACAGTTCAGATTAACAGTATAACAAGGGAGTGCAACATCAGGGTTCAGCGTGGTTGGGCACCTGCCATGGCTTGTACTTAGGCAGGAGGCTAACTGATCTCCACAGCTCCTTGACTTCACTGCTGGCCTGGAAGGAGAACATTAGTCAGCAATGGGAAGGAGCTGGAAGATGAGGAGGAGCTGATGCCACTGCTACTCACTTCAATGGAGCCAGCCCCCCCCCCCCAAACCTGGAGCTGGCATTGCTGTTAGCAAGACTCAAATATTGAAGAGGTAGGTGGGTGGCCAGAAAGAAGAACCGCTGAAGGTGTCTATCCATAGTTTTTGTTCCAAAGGCTGCACAGCACAAACTTCTTCACAGATTGCAAGATTCTGTGCTTTAAAAATAGCAGAAGGAACTCGGTGATGTGCCACATGTTGCAGTGGAAATAATGCCCCCTTCTGGAGTCAATATAATCAGCACTTTGGACGGATGCATGAAGTCCTGCTTGGTCTTTCATTGCTTACATCCCACAGATCACAACAAGAATCGAGCACACATAACTTGTGTGCTAGATTGTAGCCTCAGTGAACTAAGTCCAGTAAAAATGACCCTCCTTCCCTAAAACAGGCAGCAAACTTGATTTCCATAGCAGCAGCCCTTTAATTGAATTTGGCTCTGACAATCAAATAATAAAAAATTGACTCTTAAAAGGAGGCACTTGAGCTATGAATATATCAGGCAGTGTAATCACATTAAAAAACAAACAGTACACTAACACTGTGCTCTTATAAAGAGTTTATTTCCTCCCCTGTGCCAATTGCCTGCCCGTAAATTTGACGAGGGAAAGGGGAGGGATGTCAAATTTCTGCAATGCAAAATGTCTTCTGTAAAAAATAGAAAATAATAATAAAACACCCCCCCCCCAACCCAGCTGTGGCATTGAGCCTGCGCCCAGGCCTACATGTTCCTATAACGAGCTCTTCCATCAGCAATCTTCATCCCTATTACTTCTTCTCTCCCAAGGTGGTTATAAAGAAAGAGTGAGGGGAATGGAGCTTTCTCCTTCATCCCCTGGGGGCTGCCAGAGGATCTGGGCTCTTTGGGATTCATCTAACTATGCCTGTCCCCTGTATTTTATAGTACAGGCACTGATTTATGACCAGCTTTTACAGTTGCTGTAAAGCAGCCACAAAGTAACAAAATAAAGTAGCTATATGGGAACATTCACCCCATTTCCTGCTGGCTTCCTAAGCTGCCTGTTTACAGCAGTAGCTGAGCTATGGCATCGGATAATAACATATGACGTTCCCAGCCCAGCACTGTTTTGTTACTCGGAAATGGTCATGGCTGAGGCAAAACGAGTAACCAACTGGTAGCATGTTAAGGGGGCTGGGTTAAGGAGGTGCTCGTAGTTCAGACAGTTGCATGAAACATTGACTGAGTTCACAGATCTGGGTTTGTGGGCTTGTTCTGCTGTCTGGACCAGATGTTGTTGTTTGTTTTGGGCCCAGAAACCTGAAAGTTCTTTTTTTTCCACTCATGGCAGGAAAAAAAACCATAGAATCCTATGGAAAGAGTGGCAACAAGGAGAGGCAGCTCCAGACTTCCAATCTCTGCTGCTCATGGCTTCCTAGCAGTACACACCTCATGACTTGCTTTGTTCCCATTTGTCCAGCGCTATGCTCATCACCCTGTTTTGAAACAGGGAGAAAGTGAACAAAGGCACAGAGAATGAACAGGGGAATCACAAAGTGTTTATTTTAATGTATAATAGCAGCAGCAGCAGGAGGAGGAGGAGGACAATGACAAGGAAGGGGGCTGGATTGGCTAGGAAGCATTAAAGAAAGGGAGGCGAAATTAGGAGGGGGAAGATGGAGAACCCACTTCAAATCCTCAGTGAACCGGTTAGGAAAAGGCAACTGCGGTAGATATGGAGCAATGTAGCAATGAAGGGATTTTTGCTTGCAGTAGCTGCTAGGATTCATGGCAAGAGTGGGAGAGTGGAGTGGGAGGAGCATAATGCTGGACCAGATGGGGGTCGTGACCATCTGCCAGGGCAAATGTGGTAAGTTGCCAACAATCATGGCAAACCCCATGGCCCTTGTTTGTCATAATGTGTGAACCTACCCTTGAGATGCTACCACTGGTGGTGGTGTGGAGCTGGGTATATCTGTGCTGTAAAAGGTTAAACTGGCGTTCCCCTTGGTTCTGTGGTTCTGCATTCCCCTGGGGACTCAGACCTGAACAGGTCACAGTTTCCATTCACAGAGCATCTTCTATACTGTCATAGCCTGAGGATGTTGCTCTTCCATGCAGGTACATGAGACTGCAGAAAGAGAAACAGACCCCTTAAGAACTGCACTGCAGTGGATCCAGCAAGAGTGGATCCACTGAAAGGACCAGCTTTGCTGATTTTGTTGAGATAAGGCCTCACTTGTCTGCAAGTCTATGCTGGGATATAGGCTCTTTCTAGGAGAACCCTAGAGCCAGAGGTCCCCAGAGTGTGCTATCCGAGGTCCTGATGCCACCTACAACCGAGACTGCTGTTAATGTCTGCTGCTCCTGGACACCGTACCTAGCCAAAACACAGGCAGGGTTCGATCCAGTTTTGACTGGCACATCTGTGGCAGAGCCAGGCTTAGCCAACCGGCTGGCCACAAATTAAGACATTTGTGCCGAAAGTCAGCCCACCCATCCCTTTCCTTTGTTTGAATGAACGAACGAACGAACGAATGAATGCCTTGTTTGCCATAGACTGTTAGAATAAATGGATGGATGGATGCTTTCTTTGCCATAGTCCCTTTTCTGCTATATGGTGAAATAGGAGAATAGCGCTGAGGAAAAATGGTGATTTGATCATAACTTTGTGAAACTGACCCAGTAATTCATTTTTATATTTCTCAAAAAATATAGAATATAACATTCCTGAAAAAACAAAACAATGACTTTTTTCCACCTCCCCAGAGAATGTTGTTACCTCTGAAATACAGTGGATGTAGAGAATGGTCCCACCACTCCTGCAGAAGAGCCTTCAAAGGCTGTGGAGAAGGATTCTAATTCAGATGAAGAATAAGGGCCAAAATCTTCAGAACCTGAAATGTCAAGGCCAAAGGCACCAGAAAAAAAGTCAGGTTGTTGATGAGAATCAAATAGTTTCAAATTAGTTTGGCATGTTCAGTGAACACACAAAGGTGGAATAGGCAGACCTATTATTTAATCTAAAGATAAAAGGTCAGGTTAAGAGTCGAGAGGTGTCAGATACTTCGAGTGAGTCACCCTTAAACGGGAAGATCTGCCTTCCCTAATGGCCAATATTCTAGCTTGTTTCTTTGTTATCAACACCAAATATTCCTCCCGAGACTTCTTGCCATTCCCCTGGAGAACAGAGCTATGTGACTGTTCCTATGAACCTTAAATAGCCTGCTGCCCTGGGTGTGATGGAAGACACTATCTCATTGCCATTCTTAAAGCAAGATTCAGCTATTGTTCAAGCTGGCTCCTGTATATGAAATAGAGAGAGGTGCCACATTGTCCTTTACTTCTGACAGCAAAATGCCTCGGGCCACTCTTGCACAAATAAATGAGAATGTTTTATCCATCACTAAATTCCATCGGATTGGACATCAAGAGGGGAACTTTTCTATTAGCACTTTTCTTTCCTTTGTTTCTTTGCAGGACAAAATCGAAACATCTATCAGTCAATCAGCCGGTGAACAAACACATCACACTTCCTTAGACATCTCTGGCTATTCTGGATGCCCTCCACCCAGCCATCATAACCCCTCTGAAAGGAAGGGAGGGAGGGAGGTACAGAGAGAGAGTTGTACTATTTTCTCTCTGCTTGAACTGAAGAACACTGCATGATAGCTTCACCAGCCAGGAGAGTGCTGTATATTGATGAGCTGGTTCAAACAGTGTTAGAAAATTACTGTTTATTTTTTTTTTTATCATGCAGTCTGCTACAAAGCATTCCTTTACCTCAAGTCATTTCATAAATATCTGGAATTAGTAACCTGAAGCTGATTAAGGATCTGACATTCTTGCCATATTACTGATTGCTGTGCTTAGACATTGCTTAAATTGTTAGAAGGGGAAGGTCCCTCCTCCCTAAACATTCCACAGAACTGGATTTCACAAGTCCAGTTTATGAAAGTTGGGGCAGTACCCAGTGCTGGCAATCATCAACTCAAAACATAGTTTGCTAGTGTGACAATATCTGCAGGCACAATGGGAGAGCAGTGCTTCCTAGGGCAATGCAAGCAATTACTCAAAAATACTGCTTCCAAAATGAGATCTCCCTTTCACATCCTCTACTGACTTGCCTCATTCTAGAAATGAATTTGGTAGTTTTGGATGGTTTCTTGCTGCACTAGCAGGCTCCTCTTTCCCACTGTGTTTCCAGTCTTTCCTAGTAGCAGAGTGACCATATTGGATACTGCCCTTGTACCATATTACTATGAATATCAAATCAAAAGGAAGCCCTACTGAATTCAGTGGAACTTAGTTCCATGTATACTTCCAGAATAGCAGCCCAGATCTGGTGCTAGAAGTTACTCATGTGTAAATAATATTTTGCCTGTTTGCTGCTGCTTGTTTCCTTAGGCCGTTTTGACTGTTTAAAATTGAAATTAGACCACCTAAATAATGCCTCCCAGCTTCTTCCCCCTTGAAAGAAAGTGGGAGCCCATTGGAAAGAAGAGCAAGTTTGTTGGAACTTATGCTTTCTCAGCATCATCTTATTATTCACATGTTTTCAGAAATACATTGGTTGTATCCAGGGTAGTACCTGATGAAATTCTGCTCAGTTTGGAGAAAAGGGGAGTGGAGAGTCTTCCGTCATTCTATACCTTCCTTTGCTGCCTGAAAAGCTGCTCTGCAGCAGTATGAGAAGTGACACTGAAAGCTGCAGCAGGGGGGTGAGGATGCATGCATGAACTGGCCTTCTTCCATCAGGGAGCCTCCATTGGATCATGGTGGCTTCTGTAAGTGAAAGTTATTTCATTTAAGAATAGTCAGTCTTCCAGATAACAATCTGAGGTGTCTAAAGGAGGACAATAGCTGTATATTATAGGGGATGATGAGAGGAAGCATTAGGAAAAAGGAAAATAAATGGGATATATGTAGTGTTCTGGAATGCAGTGTGATGTGGTATAATGGTGTGTTAAACTGGAACCCAGGACCTGGATTCTAGTACTCGTTTGTCATTGAAGCTCACTAGATAACTTTGGGCTAGTCACTGATGCTCAACATAAACTACTTTGCAAGATTATTGTGAGTATGAAAAGGGAGAGAAGGAGGACTGTGTACAGCATTTGGGCCCCTTGACAGAAAGGTAGGATATACATGTAGCAAAGGAATGAATGAATGAATGAATGAATGAATGAGCTCATTGATGAAGAGGTGGAGAGTAAACAACAGATGCCAATAGCTAGCTAATTAGCATATTGGTAGAATGATTGTGGACCAAGCATGGATGTATATATTTGTCACAAAGAAGTGGCACCTGCACTCTGGCTGTTGTGTAGCTAGATTTTTCCCATTTGGTGGTATCTTTGAGGCAGATTTAGAAAGGCCTGCATCAGTCCTGTCTGTTTCTGCAGAATAGGAGAATAGAAAGATATGCAGTGACGTGCTCTCAACATTGTCACCTCTGATGAAATGGCAGCTACAGAGGTCTACATTTCCCCGAAGTATAATGAAACAGCGGAGCAATATTAATTCTTTATAGGCAATCTTTAAGAAGAGTTCAAGTCCTATGTTACATTATTACAAACTTCAGCAAGAACATGCACTAGAAGACAGGCTGAGCTTTTCTTTAAGAAACCATAAGATCTCTTTGGGTAGACCTGCACACTGACAGAGCCTTTTTGCTGAAAGCAACACCCCAGTGTTGAATTCTCCCCTCTGTAGTATGTAGTTCAACGAAACTATCCTACTGAGTAACAGCCACCTCCTCTGATAGGAATGGAGGCTTTTATGGAGTCCTGGTACTCTGCTCACTGCCCAGGTACATTGATGAACCTTTGGGAACAGGAGAATGAAGCAAGGAGGCAGAGTTGTGGATTCAATTCGGGCAGGTCCTATTTGCAGCCTACTCACGTCAGGCTAATAGGAGGGTCTTGATCAACTCAAAGCAGGGCTGGTATCAAGGGTAGGCATGATCTTGCACTTGCCAGGGTCCCACTGCAAGAGTCTCCTGGATTTGCTCTTCCCCTTCCCTATTGCAACCTGCATGTCCACTTGCTTCTCACCCCTTCACTGGTGGTAGTGAGGAGAAGGAACAGTAGACACCGCTACTCACTTCCCCTGTGGCTCTCTACTTGTCAAGCAAACAGGTGGAAGCAGTGATGGGAAGAGAACAGGGGGCAAGAGCCGTTGGCAGTCATGACAGTAAGAAGGGAGATTCACTGAGGGTGTCTTGCTCAAGAGCCCTTAAAAACCTGGACTCAGAGCCATTTCAAACTTATGCATGGAGCATTTGAACCCACCTTTGATTTTTAAATTATCCCTACTTATTGCATTGCACGTATGAGTATATATTAAAAGTCCAAGGATTCCTTTTTGCTTCTCCTCATGTTCCCTAAAACAGGCAATAAAAATTGGCAATTTATTAAACTGGGCCTTCTCCCAAGATTATACTTTTCAAGGCTTCACTGCTAGATCTTCATCACTGGAAGTAATACTGGAAGGATTTTGCCCAAGATATTCAGGAACTAGACCACTCACAGTTTTATATGTCAAACACAGTACCTTAAATTGAGTGTGGAAGCAATCTGGCAAGCAATGCACGTCTCAAAATAACTGTGATCATTTACACCCATTAACAATTGAATGGCAGCATTCTGAAGCTTCTGGCCTTTCTTCAAGGGTAGCCCTAGGTAGAGAAGACTCCTGCAGTCTAATCTAGAAGTTACCATATCATGAATGATCACAAGAGCCCTGTTTAGGAGTTCTGCAGACTGCAACAGTCTGGAGACTTCTGTATACTGTAAGCTCTCCATGTGATCCAGGACCCAGATTTTCCAGGGTCGTGAATCAAGTGGAGATCTTCCATGGTTACAGGATATTTCCCTTAGACAGCCCTCCTTCACATGTTCAAGAGTGGGGTGGACAGGACTGAAGTTCTCCTCTCCTCATGTGTTCACTGAAAGCAGTAAGAAAGCCAAAAGAGAGCTGAACAGTTTTCTGTCTTCCAATTATGGGCATAGTTGTCATATTAGCTGAAGCTGACATAAGTGACTCTGGGCCACAGCTGCTACGTACTTGCAATTTCAAGAGCAGTGGCAGTTCTAGAAATACCCCCAAACTACAAAGCAGAATGTGACCTAACTCATGTGTGCAATGTATATTCAAAGAAATGTTTGTTTCTCCCCAGCTCTGTTTTTCTAAAGGAAGTTTGCCTCTCCGTGGATCAGGCAGGCTTTGCCTCTATTTTTTATTTCTCTCAGCATGATCATCTCAGTGAAGTTCCTAGAAAACACAATCTTATTCAAGCATTCTTTAAGATGGCCCAGACAATGGCATACTTCATCTATTCTAGCTGCAAGCAATCAGCAACCAATCCACTCCGCCCATAAAGGATACCTTCAGAAAGGAGCTGAAAAGATTTTGCAGACAATGTGACCTTTTCTTCAACAAAGGTGCAATAGTAATATATGAAAATGTTCTTTCCCAAGCAACGACAGGGTTCACATGGCATGGGAACCCAGAGGAGCTCATAAACCATGATGGGTTAGCATGTCATGACAACGCGGACTGCTTCCCATAGCAATGTTTATTTTTGTCTTATCCTGAGCTGCAGCGATTCGGTAGTATGCCATGTGGTGAGAGCAGCCAAAACCACATGGCTGCTCCTCTTCTCGTGGGTAGACTACTTCCCAAGCTCTCCCTCGCAACAGGTGCATGGTGGCCACCTCCTTCCTCGGCAGCAATGAGTCCCACTGCCTATTCTCCCTCATTGCTTTGCTTCATAGCAAAGTTTCCCCCTTTGCCTCTGTGCACCAACTGCCTTCCTGATAATGTGCTGTGCAGGAACAGCACCATGAACCATAACTTTGATCCATCTTCTGAATATTCTGCTACGTCTGTGCAAGGTTTGGAACTGCACAGCTGCAAAAATGAGGAGTTACACGAAGCAGGATGTGGTTATGATATAAAGAATTAAAGATCTGGGATGCTCATCTGATATTGAAGGAAGCAGTTATGAATTATGAACGAGGATGAGTGAGTTTGGGGAATGAGCTAAGGAGCAGAAAAGGTTGTTGATTTGAACTGTTAGCTGACATGGTTGTTGTTGCTTTTTTAATCACATCAAGATGTGCTAGAAACTTTATTTCCATGTGTATATGAGATGAAAACAGCTGAAGTGGATCGAAAGAACTGATAACAGCCAGTGATGCTTCTATTTTACACACTACTTTATGAGTGATAAGCAAATACAACTAAATGCAAACTATTTTATCTGTAAAGCATCAGGCAAATACATCACTGCTGGCAGGAAATAGTTCTCTTTGAGCTAGCTTTATGTGGCTATACTACCCTATTTCTCATCCATGTGCATGATCAATCTTGCCCCTTGGAAACTGCAGTTTTCTATCACCCATCTTGCAACCATGCCACCACACAAGCTATGGCAGATATCTACCTAGAATTTCAACTCTTCCTCACCCCCACCCCAAAACAACTCACGTATATATCTGTATAGCAGTGCCGGGCAGCTTTACACAGTATGAAACCAGTGTGGTTGAGAAGGTGGCCTTCTTAGCCATCACTGCTGCCACGGCAAAATTCTTCAGATGGACTCAATGACATGTTCATTGTCAGCACAAATGCTGTTCCACCTTTACTTTAGCCATTTTCCCAACTGCTTCTCAGTGATCTATGGACACAGCAGGGAGACAGGATGCCTAGAAGGCCAACCACAAGACGATCATCAACAGTGTGACTATTAAAATCCAAAGATCAATCCTCCAAAGGTGTCTGAAACCATAATAGCCATAAATCTAAGGGGTCATGCCTGAAAAAGACACACAAATAATGGGGAAAAAGAAGGGACCCTTTCTCTAACATCTGCATATATGCCATCCCGGTCCTCAAAGTCCCCAACTTCCTTGGGGTGAGTGGAGAGGGCTGCAGGGGTGATTCTACTCATATTCACTTGAGACATTTAATCTTTTACATGATTGGGAACTAAAGCAGGATTCTGGTTGTGTGGAGGCTACCATGGAGTAGAAAGCTCCTCTAGATGTTCTCAATCAACAGAAGATTAGCAGTGCTAGGGATGGAGCTATCTTGTGTGGCACCATCCTTCTAACTTGCCTCATGTACTCTGTTTAGGGATAATGCCT